ACAACCACTCAGGCATATATAATAATTTACATCTCCAAAGGGCACATTCTGCAAGTCTGCCTCTTGGCCACCAGCTCTTAGTCCTTCTCTTCTTAGTCCATGAATCTAGAGTCCTCAGCCACTTCCCCTCTCCATGTCCCCATCTCTGCCTCCATCTCTGGTGCTGCTGCTTCTCTGGATAAGGTTCCGCATTCTGCTTCTGTACTTCTCTCTTATTGGTCCTAGGGTCCTCTGTTTCTGGACTGTAAGATTAACCACGCCCATGTTTTTGTTACAAAACTTCTACCTTTACAATTGTGACAGTCATAATTAGTCATGATAACAATTATTCACTATTGAATCATATGAATCTTATCCCCATCTCTTTTTACCAGACCTATCTAGACAAGATGACAGCTATTCAGTGGGGACTCTTTCTTTCCCCCCATACTCTTAAACTAAACTTCCTCCTGAAACTTTGTAAGCCAGTCATTTTATGCCTTTATTGCACCCTCATTTTAGGTAGACAATGTCTAAGTTGCCCGTCCCTATCTATCCTGTGTACAGAGGGGATAGCATTTATACTTGATGTGAAACTCTTTCCCTCTCTGTTGGTATTTAGAATAACTACCTGAGTATAGGTAAGGTTCATCAAATTGTAGCAATTTACCCTTGTTTCCTTTATAAAAAAAAAAAAAATTTTTTTTTTCAATCTTCCTCTAGTCAAGTTCTGATTATGGAGCCATCGAGGCTAGGTCAAATGGGTACTGTCTGCAAGTTCGAGTGTTCTTGTGCATCTCCTCTCACTTCATATCAGCTGGATGCTTCACTCTCAGCTCTAACCCTCTGTGGCTAAGTCCTTGTTCATGGGCACAAGTGTCCTCAGTTCTCACCACACTTTGGACCAACCAGCCCTTCCTCTTCTCTCATCTCCAGGTCAATGGGATTCAATGGACTGGGGTTGAACTCAGCCCATTTCTTCATTGCTGCCTTTCTCCCTCTTCCACTCACCAGTAGACCAATGTGGTCACCAGCAAGCTTACATGCTTGTTTGTGTATTCCCTTTGAGTTTCAGCCTTAGAGGGGAGTTTGTCCTAAAGGCACTTCATTGCTAGTCTTGATGTCTTCCTGGTGAAAGAGCTTGCTTATTCTTGTAGTAGCCAGTCATGCTGACATTGGTGTTTTCGGTTTTTCCTGATGATCATTCTTTGAAGATGTATCTTCTGTCACTGTAGTTTTCCAGTCTGCTTGTCCTTTCTAGCGGGAATGTCCCACCTCATAAGGTTCTGGATGGGACTCAGGATTCCACCTAAGGTCCTATACTCTGTAAAGGCTTGGCAAGAGGCCTATTTCACTGGGCAAGTTCTAGAACCCCTTTTAGGTATTCCAATCAGTTATAGGCTGAAGGCGGGCTTACAAGTTTTCTCTAATCATGTTTCCCAACATTCCTTTCTATACCACTCAAGTGTCTATTTTACAATAGTAGGCAAGGGAAACTAATATTCATAAGACAGTCAAGCATTTTAGTATTATTTCCCCTCTTCAAGCTATACCTAGATCCCTCTGTATCCCAGAGCCCTGTTATTCCAAGGTTGAGCATGCATCACTATTTATCTCTGTCCCGCTTAGGCTATGCAAAACTGTCTCAGTGTTCCCCTGTCTATCTTGTTCTGCCTCCTCCCACCTTTGTGTATTGCCCTCCCCAACACCCAAACTAAACCCCTCACCCTAACCCCAATGTGGTTACCTTATATTCCATTAGTTCTTCCCTCCATTTAAGACAGTCTACCTGACCTTCCCACCACCTGGATCTCTGTTCCTCTGTGTTTACCTTTTTTCACATTGTAATTGTTTTGATCATAGACTGACCTCCCAGATCCTCTGCTCTTATAATTTTATTTTGTTCTTGACTCTTCCATTTGTCAACTGAGTTCAGGGTGATGCTGCTATGTACGTCATTCTCTAGTTGTTGTCTGTTGTTGGTTCTCAGTCCACGAACTTTCTTTAGGATGTTTTTCATAGCAGGGCTGGCTTTGGCAAAATCCCTTAGCTTCTGTTTATCCTGCAATGTTTTGATTACACCATCATATTTGATTGACAGCTTTGCTGGGTAGAGGATTCTTGGGTGGCAGTTTTTTTCTTTCAGGGTTTCATATATGTCTCCCCATTGCCTTCTTGCCTGCATGGTTTCTGTTGAGAAATCTGAGCTTAATCTGATTTGCTTGCCTTTTTACATTACAAGCCTTTTTTCCCTGGCTGCTTTCAGGATCCTGTCCTTATCTTTGATTTTGGAGAGCTTGATTATTATGTCTTGGTGATTGTCTTTTAGTGTCTATCTTTCCTGGGGTTCGTTGAGCTTCTTGAATGTTAAACTTTTCACTTTTCATGATGTTAGGAAAATTTTCTTCCAGACACTCTTCAACGATCTCCTCTGTGGACTTGTGTGATTCTTCCTGTTCTGGAATGCCAATAATTCTTAAGTTATTCCTCTTCAGGTTGTCCAACATGAATCTTAGGCCTTCTTCAGATCTTTTTATCCTTTTTTGTATTTGTTCTTCTATCTTAGTAGTGTTGAGAGATTTATCTTCTAACTCACCAGTTCTGGCTTCTATCTCTTCAAATCTACTCCTTTGCCCTTTCAGTGTATTGTCCATTTCTGATATTCTATTGTTAATCATTTGGACCTCTTTCTGTAGGTTTTGAATGGTTTCCAATGCTGTATTTATCTTATTTGATTGTTCCTGTAGCACTTTCCTGACATCTTCCTTATTTATCTCAACTCCATTGTATAGTGCTTCGATACATTTTATAATGATTTTTTTGAATTCCTTCTCCAGCATTTCCAGAGCATGGAGTGTAAGTCTCCTTCCAGCTCATTTGCCTCAGTCACTTTGTCTCGTTTCTGCACATGTGCAGATATGGTCATCTGCTTCTGTTTTGGGGGCATATTCAGGAATTAATTATCTGTGGCCTTAATACTTAGATGGTTGTTTATTTTGGTATTTTTTATGCTTTCTGATTGCTTCCATGTAGATGTGATCAGGAGATGGGCTTCCTGTTTCACTCTTCTTCCTGAGAAATTTCAAAATGCCACTGTTGGTTGTTTTGATGTAACTTAGGATTTAATTTTTGGCCTGTTTCCATTTTTGTTTACCTATCCTGCTCCACAATCCCCAGTCAGGCCTTTTTTCTAGTTATAAACAGTTCAAGGCCAGCTGTGGCCGTTTGGTTTTAATTGGAAACTGTCTCTTTAAATTTCGAGGAGATCTGTACGCATGCGTAGTAGAACCTTCCAAGGGTGGGCTGGAGTGTCCACTTGCTTAAGCACCCCTATAGTCACCAGAATGGAGGTACGCAGACAGCGAGGAACCCATGAGCAGATACCAAAAAAAAAAAAAAGAATGTCCACATCTTTATCTCCACGGTTCTGTCAGGCATCCGTGGCTGCTCTGATCCTTCTTACGCTTGGTCTCACACAAGATGGCGGCTCCTGGAGCAGCTGAGCATCTTGAATTAGAAAGCAATAGATTTCTTGCTTCTGCTACAAATTCTCCTCACTGTAAGCCTTCCAACTGTTGAAATAGTCCTTAATATGTGGTTCGGAGTTCTGGCACCATCATGAGCCTGCTTGGTCCGGTATTCTGTGTTGTTGCTGATCGAACTCTTCACTGCACTGCCACCCGATCCACCGTCTTGTTTGTTCTCCCAAACTTAACTTTTAACAGTCATGGAATTGCTGGAGTGTTAAGTGTCCACCTGTCTGTGGAGAATGGAGATGGAAGGAAGCAAGATTGAAACAGAGAGGAGATGGGTAAGGCATCTAAGCATTTATCCAGAAAGAGAAGGGTGGGGGCTTGGATTTCCAGTGTGGGAGGAGAAATAGATGGGTCTAAGATTTGTTTTTTGGAGGTAAAGTCGACAGGCTTTCTGATGGATTCGATGTGAGAAGTGAAGGAAAGAGAGTAATGAATTAGGTTTTGGCTTTAGCAACTGGGTAATGATGGTCTCATTTATGAGATGGGAAAAATGAGGGAGAAGTAAGTTTTTGGGGAAAATAACCAGGTGCTATGTCTTGGCCATGAGATTAAAGTCAGACACCTAAGTTGTGGTGTCAAATGGGCAGTTGTAACTTCCAGGGAATTCTGAGAGTTGAAGTTTAACATTTGGGACTACTTGGAGTGGAGATGGGATTTAAAACCTTGAGAATTTCCCTGACTCAGTAAAGGCCCAGTTGATATATCATGAAGGATGTTAATCTGAAGAATCTCTGCATGGTAATGTTGTCATCTAACTTGACTTCCTCATTAGTTTTATTGGTTTTCTGGTTTTCAAATAAAGACACAAGAGGAGAATGACAAATAGCATCTTTAATTAAAAATAGATTAGCATCGAACTGGTGGGGAGAAGCCAAAGAACACTCAGAAAGGTTAAGTTAAGAGGTGCCCAACAATTTGGCTGAGAAGTTCTCCAACCTGCATATCTTCAGCCAACCTCCTCAGCTTAGCACCTAGGAGGTGGGGGGTAGGCTCTTCCTGCTGTTAGGGTCTCAGAGACGTAATATTGCCATGGCAGGACATCAGGCATCCCCCCCAAAAAACAATTAAAACTCATGTTTGGAATATAAAATCAGGGCTTTCAAAGTATATCACTGTCACAAATACTGTTTATTTGTAACAGTTAATGGGCAAAATTGCAGAATCGACCCTTAGCCTTGTGTCTGAAACGACTGCCTTGTAATTTGGCTTTGTCTTGTCAGGTGAAGGCTTGAGAAGAGAGGCAGGATGAGGAGGAATGTCCCCAGACAGAAGAGTGGGGCACTGGGGTGAAGATTAGTGTTGACTGACCTAAAAAGAGGAGGGTCTATCACAAAGAATTAACCTAAGATGTGAATCTGCAGTCCTTGTAGAAGCAAACTCCCATGAAATGGGAAGTGGGTATTCTATGTGAACTGGGGCAAAAAAGGGGTGTACTGCAAGGAGTATTCTACTACGCCAAGGAGACTTTTTGTAGAAAACAAGGGGCTAAGGGTGGGTGTAGTTGCCCATTCTCAGGGCACCTTGGCGCACAGCACACTCTTCTCGGTGAGCTTTGAGTGCTCTCTGTCGATCAGCTTCAGTAGGGAATGTATGGAGATGGGGCCCCACCTGTGGACAGAAAGGAAGAGCAGGTCAGTGAGAATTAGTTCCCTGTGGATGCCATTCATCTTCATCCCCTTGCCTGCTCCTTACTTCAATCTTGGAGTAATCATAAAAATTGCTGTAATGTATTGGGAGCCTTCTATGTGCCATCCAATTAATTGGAAAATGCTAAGGATATAGATGTTTTGACCTTCAGTTCCCTGATGACCATGAAAGATGAGGCACCTCCTCATCTCGGTCACCTGACTTCCGCAGTGTCCCCTTCAGACTGTGGACTGCTTCCCAGAACTGGCTCGCCTGGCCTTTCATGCTTGCTCACATTGGCTCCTTATATTCCCTTTCTTCCTTTCCACTTTCCTCTCCTCTCGCCTATTCCTTTTATACCCCTTTCCTCCATTTCTACTCCTTGCAGAATAGGTTTAGATGAACTGGAGTTTGGATGCTGGCTCCACAGTTTACCGTTGTGTGCTTTGGGACAAGTCCTTTTATCTTTTGGAGCCATTGTGGTGGTGTTGTTAGCTGTTGTTGAGTTGGCTTCCTACTCATGACAACCTGGAAGAAGCCCTGGTAGCATAGTGGGTTATACAAGGTCAGCAGATCAAATCTACCAGCTTCTCCTCAGGAAAAAGATGAGGCTTTCTGTTCCTGTAAAGATTTATAGTCTCAGAGACCCTATACAGGGTCACTATGAGTCGGAACTGATCCCGGAGCACACAAACACCAACTACCATGGCAACCTGGAATCCAACGAGATGGGACCATTGTAATACATAGATTTTCCTGGGCTGAGTTTTGGAATAAGGTCATACCAGGTCTTTCTTCCTAGTCTCTTTCACTCTGAATGCTCCACTGAAATCTGTTCAGGATCATAGCTACATGCAAGCCTGCACTCATAAGTAGTGGTGGCTGCATATGAAGTGTATTGACTGGGAATAGAACCTGGGTCTCCTGCATTGAAAGCAAAAATTTACCACTAAATCGCCACTTCTGTTAGCCTGCCCAGTAATTGTTGGAAGGACTTCAGCTATTGCCTGTAAACAATACACACAGTTAGCTCTCAGTTACTGACCTGCTTTTCTAATTATTTTTACTTTAGCCTTTTAGTAATTAGCAAGCATTACATTTGTCCTGGAGTGATGCTGTGGGATAATACGCTAGACTGCAAGGTCGGTGACTCAAACTCACCAGCTGCTCCTTGAAAATCCTATACAAGGTCACTGTGAGTTGGAATTGAGTCCACAACACTTAACAATAACAACAACAACAACATATGTCCTGCTTTCGTTTTTATTTTTAAAAGTTTTTCGTTGTGATGTGGCTGAAAGTTTTCAGAGCAAATTGGTTTTCCATTCAACAACTCACACACATTTTGATTCTTGATGTTGATTGCAAACCCCACAATGTAACAGCACTCTTTCCACTTCCTCCTTATGTTTATCTCCATCCTTCCATCCTTCCTTTTCTATTTCTTTCTGCCTTCTGAGCTTTATGCTTCAGGAAATGCTGGTTGTTTTTTTTTTTTTATCTTATATGATTGATTGTTCAAATAAGTGTGTACCTTGCTGGTGTTATTGTTCAGTTTTTCCATTGTTTGACTCTAAGTTGAACCACAGGATGAGTCCAGTTCCAGTCCTGTCTTGGGGCCATAAGCTGGGAGTCCCACCATTCTCTACCAGACCAATAAACCTAGTCTTTTTTTTATTATTATTATTGGTTTGTTTTATGATTTTGAATTTTGTTCCACATTTTCTTGTTTGCCCTGTTTTAAAACTGCATTTATAATTACTTTTCAAAATTTAAATTTAGTTTTACATATTTTTCAATTGCGGTAAAATACAAATAACGTAAGATTTACTATTTTAGCCATTTAAAAACGTACAATTCAGTGGCATTTGGCACAGCCACGAAGTTGTACAACCATCACCACTGTTAGTTCCAGCATCTTTTCATCCCTTCAAATGGAAACCCTGGACCCATTATCAGCCACTCCTCTCTCCCACCTCTCCTCTGCCCTGATAATAACTATTCTACTTTCTGTCCCTTTGAATTTGTCTATTCCAGACTTTTCATATAAGTGGAATCATACAATATTTGTCCTTTGACTCAATCCTAGTGTGGCGCTGCAAGATAATGCACTGGACTGCAAAGTCGGCTTGAACCACAAGACTGGTGGTTGAACCTTACCAGCTGCTCCTCAAAAATCCTATCTAGGGTCACTGTGACTCAGAACTGAGTCCACGGTGCTTAGCAACAACGTCTGTAAGGTTCATCCATGTCATACCATGAAGCAGGACATCGTTCTTTTTAGGTCTGAATAATTTTAGTTGGTACATATATTGTTGTCTGACTCATAGCAATCCTGTATAGATTTTCTGAAGAATAGCTGGTTGACTTGAACTGCCGACCTTGCGGTTAGCAGTCCAGTGCTTATCCTACAGTGCTACACCAGGACCCCATGGTACGTATGTTCCATATTTTATTTATCCATTCATTTGCTTATGGGCATTTGAGCTGTTTCCACCTTCAGGCTACTGTGATAATGCTGTTTTGAATATTTGTGTACAGGTGTCTGTGTGGACATGCCTTCATTTCTCTTAGGTATATAGCTGGGAGTGGAATTGCGGGGTCACATAGTAGTCTTTTGAGGATACATTTGTCTTTTAAGAGAGGGCATGGCTAGAACTAACTCCTGCTTTTGTTATTGTTGTTGTTAAGTGCCGTTAAGTCAGTTTCGACTCATAGTGACCCTGTATAGGGTTTCTGAGGAGCAGCTGGTGAGCTTGAACTGCCAACCTTGCATTCAAACTGACCTTGCAGTCCAGCACATTAACCTACAGTGGCACACAGAACTCACACCCTGCTTTTACTTTCAGTCAATTACTAAGAACCATACTTAAAGAAAGTCCCTTGTGATGACTCATCTGTTCCATGTCAGGGGTGAGAACTGCCCCAGAATTACAGCTACAGAGGGAAAGAATTCAGGAGTAAGTGCTCCTGGGCATCCTGGTCTGAGTGGGCAGGAATCATGAAAGGGCAGCAGCCGGGAGCCAGGCTGCCTGGATGTCCCATGTCCCAGCATTCCCCATGCTGTCCAGGCAGCAGTCCACTGTGTCACAAATATCTCCCAACAGCCACCTGGAGTCACCGTGGACAGGGGCCTAGTAGTCAATGTCTGTCCTTAAAACACCACTGTTCTAATGTAGAAATACTGGACTGCCAACCTCAAGGCTGGTGGTTTGAGCCTGCCAGCCACTCCAAAGGAAAAAGATGAGTCTTTCTGCTCCTGCAAAGATTTACAGCCTCAGAAACCCTATACAGGTTCGTTATGAGTTGAAATCGACTTGATGGCACTTAAAAACAATAACAGTATGGAACTAAATTCAAACTCATAAAAAAGACCAGGCTTCCTGGTCAGTTAGAGATTGGTGGAACCTCGAAACTATGGTTGTTAGTCACCCTTCAGGTTTGGAACTGAACTCACCCTTGTGACTTAATTTTCAGTCAAACATTAGATAGATCTATGTTGTTGTTAAATGCTGTTGAGTTGATTCCAACTCATAGCAACACTGTATAGGGTTTTCAAGGAGTGGCTGGTGAGTTTGAACTGCCAACCTTGTGGTTTAAACCAACCTTGAGGTCCGGTGCATTATCCTACAGCACCACATCTATAAAGTGAACAATAACACTAGTGAGGTATGCACACCTTAAAGTAATCAACTATTTGAGATCAAAAGGACAGCATTTATCCAAGGCCAAAGTTCAAAAGAAGGGTTAGGAAAGGAGGAATGGGAACAAGAAACCCAGGGAGGAAATAAGATAAGTGATGTTACATTGAAGGCATTGTAATCAATGGATAAAATAAGATGTGTATGAATTGTTGAATGGAAAACTGATCTGCTCTGTAAGCCTTCACCCAATTCACGATAAATAGTGAAAACAAAAACAAAACTGCTTTTCTGTGATCAAAGCCTACAACAAGCCACCCTGTCTTGACGGCTGTCAGTGTTCCTTCATTGGGAAGATAAGCTAACTTCTCTCCTGCTCTGTGGCAGCCAGTGGGAAGGAAGAAGAGGGATGTTCCAGGGGAGCCAGATGGCTAGCACTCAATAGCACCAGAGCCAGAGTTCAATAAAGCACCACCTTACCCGTTCAGAAGAAAGCACGCGAGGGAGACAAATCCAAGGAGTGGAACCTTCTAAAGTTAACATTTTATGTAATCAGTGTTTCAGATTGCCCTTCTTTCCCAAGAAGCATTCATCAGTGAAAACTCCTCTTGCCTCCTAGTGTCTACCCTGTCGGTTCTATTGACCTCCACATTCGAGAAAATCTAACTTAGTAACTGAATGCAGCAACCCTAAAATGTTGTTCTCCCCTTTAGAAGAACCCGAGAGACACAGAGTAGAAAGGGTCAGGTTCACTTGTTCATTTATGCATAATCCATTCATTCATCATTCATTCATTCATTCATTCATGCAGCATATTCCTTGATCATCATCCAGGCTCTGGGGATACAGCAGTAAATACAAAAGTAGGGCCCTGCCTTCATGGAGGTTTTAATCTAGAGAAAGAACAGACATGGACAATATATACACAATTATTTCATTATGCGTGACAGAGTGAATGAAGATGGGGTGTGTGTGGTGAGAACTAATAGTACAGGGCCAACCCTTGTGGGAGTCAGGGACACCTTCTGAGGAAGAGATAGTTCAAGGGAGGCTGGAGGGATGGGCAGGGCTTGCCCAGGTAAAGGGAACAGTGTGTGCTGATTCTGGGCTCTAACAGAGCTCAAGGTCATGAGGGAAGAGGCAGCCTGAGGTAAAGCTGGAGGATTTGGCAGGAAGCACAGAAGGCTGTGCCATGTCTTCAGGATATAGCAGGACCCGTTGTCCTGGAGCCCTCTACAAGGCTCTTGTCAAGCATTCAGGCCAGAGTTGCCCACAGTGCACTGCAGGCAGCCCAAGGTGACAAAAAGAGAAACACGGGGTAAGGATAAAATGCTTATAGCA